AAAGATTCACTCTTTCAAATTCTAATTGTGTGCAATCATGTTAAACTGCATTCAGAAAGATTGTATTGATTTATTTCTAGGCATAGCAAGCCTAGGTAGCCTATATTCGATAAAAGATGAACTAATAATGTAATCTATATATAGTCCATTCAGCCAGTCAACCTATTGGAAACAGCTGTCTAATAATGCACACACACAAAATAAAGTATAGAGACCTAGTCCCACTTGTAGACTTGCATTAGATATGTTTTTTGTGATACATATTTTTTGTAAATACCAGGAAAGTAAAATGTATATGCATTTTGTTAGTGGTGTGATAGTAATGATCCATCTTTAACCAATGAATAGGCATGGAAATATTTTTAAGGAATTTTGGGGCACATTTAGACAAACTGTCTCAGCTATCTCATTGGGTATTTATGTTTTGCTACTTCAAAAAGTAGTTGAAAGAAAGAATCAGAGAAACAACTTGTCCTTCACTTTCTCACAAACAGAAAATCAAGGGCTCCCAAATGACACCCGACACCGGCGATCAATCCCAGTACATTGAGGCCTCGGAGTATAGACTCTAAAATGAACTTTTGCGGTTCCCCGCAATAATTAAGTAAAGTTGCGCAAAATAAAGTGTCTCATTTCATATTTTGTGTTTTGAACGTTTCACTATTTCTAATACATGGTGAACGCATCACAAATTCGCGAGAGTTTCGGCTTGAGTGAACTCCTGCGATTGTCTTGCCACAGTCAGTATCCAACTTAGAAAGAAAAGACAAACGTATAATATTTAAAAGAAAATACCCGAAAAGACATGCTAGAGTCTATTCAACTCTAAAACATAAACGGATAACTTAATTATGGCTACCATAACTACCGACCTCTAGCGAGATACATGTATCACGTAGCTATAGCCACATTGCTTCCCAGTGTTTAAGAACTTTGCCACCTCCGAGCAGAGTCCGAACAAAAAAAATGCTACTTACCATGAACTAGAGAGAGCAAGCTACTATAAAACAGTAATTCCACAAGAAGAAGGTCCATCGCTAGTGCTCGTGGCTTTAATTCCATAACCCCGACTCCATTCTTCGGGTTATTTGTGCAAAATAAAGTTAAAATCCGAGCGGGAGCCTTGGTCGATACTTTTTATACTTTTGTTGGAACGCTACTCCAGCCTGCCTGCGCTGATTGTAGAGGCACAGACGAGAATGGCAACGGAAATTAGATGACGTCACTAGACATAAGGTTACTTTATACAGAGAGGAAGGGGCGAGGCGAGAGGGATAACTGGGACCAAAATCTATCTTCTCTAGCAGGTGGCATTTTTTCCGCTCACCAAGCGAGGAGTTTTAGTATGGAGGTCAATGAATGTCGAATTTGGTCTACAAAAAATGTAATGGCTTATTTGCTACGTGTGGCTTATTTGATCCAATAGAAGTTTCGTAATACGTAGGTTATTACGAGTGTACTGATATAAGTAGGACACTTGACATCCCGGCAACTTTGAGAAAAAACACTTTATAACGGAGTTGTGCCTGTTGTTCACGCTCGTTTCTGCCCTCTCATTGGCTAGAATGGTCCCACCTGATCTTGCCTCCCGACTGCCATCCATTTCTGAAGACATTTATTTTCCTTGTTACAGCGGACACTGGAATATCTGGTCAATGTATTGGATGATCTGTGCTTTACACAAGGGGTGCCCAATTACATTCAGCCAGGGGACGATTTTTTCTTGATCGGCGGGTCTGGAACCGGTCCAGAACATGTGTACACTGCATGTGTACACTGCAAATTGACCGCAAGAAGTCCAAACAGATCCATAGTACAAAAACATAATCATTTCAATTCTTGATTATATCGGGATATGATCACATAATGCTTCTGTATGTATGCATGGGAATCATTGGATACAGATTTCCTACATTAAAACCACTTTGAGCTGATTTCCTGGTGATTTTACAGTCTTTAATGTAAAACAACGAAAAGGAAAAACTTGGGGGCAAATAAAATCATCTGACGGCTCCAATAAATATACTTCTGTAACAAGCTACATTAATATAGTGTCCATCAAATATGAAAATGTATGCACTCACTAACTGTAAGTCGCTCTGGATAAGAGCGTCTGCTAAATGACTAAAATGTAAATGTAATATTGACTTTATATAAAGTAGTCAATATTGAAATTATTGGCGTTTTTAGGCTTAGTATCAAAGATAACGTGGTAAATTTTTATGTGACAGTGAGAATAATTTTGACCTGTAAAATATATTGTGTAGGCTACAGAGGATGTCAAAACATCAAAGTGACAAAGTGAGTCCTTCTTGGTCCAGTGTAGGATGATTTTTCTATAACATCCGCTCCTCAAGAAATGTAGGCTATAGAACGGTATACACTTCCTTATAGCAAATGGCCAGTTGGCTATACTGCACACGCACAGAGGATAATTGGCATGAATAACCCTTTACTATTAGATAAACCTATGTTATCTATATCTATCTGTATCAGTCTCCAAATAAGTGTTGGGCTTTGATTTGCTTAGCTGACACTGCACTTAGCCCATAATGTGTCTGAGGCCACAGAATGTAAAAAAGGCATTTTGAACAATGGCACACTCACTTGGTCACTACTAGGTTACTTCTACCCATGTTCTCTATATTATATATAAAATGCAATAACAGAAAAGTACTTTTATGAGAAATAATTTGCTCTTCGCTCTTTCACAAGACTCCAGGCACTGCAAACAGGATTAGGCCATAGACCTGGCAGAAAAAGCACTCCTCGGGTTGAATGCTAAGGTTCTCCAACTGGCCTGAACTCGAAAGGGGGAAAGTAGAAGCATATGTCCCTCTCAGTGCGTGTGAGTGAGGCAGGAAACCATTCCCAGCCCAGATAAATATGCCGTAATGAAACCTGCCTTTACAGTCACCTGCACCATATAGCCTGTGGCATTCCCTTTGATCCACTGGGCCCTATCCACAAATCAAAAAATCTGCCTTTCCATTGGTTTTTGTTGCTTATAAATATTGGGTTTTGCAGTAATATACCCACGCCTCAGTGCAACAAATACCCCTCACACAGTAATGAAGTCCATGTGGGACAGGTCCTCTCAAAACAAAAGGCTTATACAGGCATCATGTCAGCGAGCTTATGACTAAACCCCTAGCTACCAGCTTCTCACCAGGTATTCATATTGCAGATATTGCAGACGCACGTACTGGAGGCTCTGATTTCCTGCTCTCTCTGATTTGACAGTTACAGCTCAATACTGAGAACAAACACCCACAACCAGAGTAAATAGAACAATCTCAAACACTGAAGTAAACCAAATATATGAATATTGGCAGCAATATATTGGGGTATGGCAGATACTGTAGTAACCAATTGATAGTTATTTTTCTACTAAAAGCAATGTTCTTTGGCAGTGATGTTGCAAGAGGCAAACATTTTATTGCCAAATATGATTGAGAAACTACAGCCTGTGTGGACCAGGACTTTCACTGGAAAACTTTGTGGGGAACGGGGATAAAGTCCACAGTAATGGTTGTCTGAACAAGGACTTTTAGAAAGCACTGGAATGAAGAGAGATAAGCAAGCAGAGAAGCAAAAGACAAACATAACATCAAAACTGCCTTGAGATTCCAAAGGTTGTTTTCTCCTAAATGTTACTCTAAAAAGGTTTTCTTCTCCTAAATGTTACTCTAAAAAGGTTTTCTTCTCCTAAATGTTACTCTAAAAAGGTTTCTTCTCCTAAATGTTACTCTAAAAAGGTTGTTTTTCCTTTTGTTTTCCCTCGAAATAAATGCTGCCCTGGCGTGTGCATTGTAAAGGTGTCGGACCACCTCCCCACTCTCATTTTTTTATTCTCTGCCAATTAATTCCCAGACCTTCAAACTTTCCCAACAAACAGACACATTACATGTGCATCATATTCCCAGGCAGCTATTACTGGGCTACGGCTGTGGGCTGTTTACGTGCAACACCTTAATTACACCCAGACATTGATATGCCCTTCTAATAAACAACACCGAATCTCTCCCTGAAACACAGCATATACACAGTCATGCAAACATCTTAAAAGTCTTACAGGAGTTATGATTAATCCTTACTGACATTACTGAATATTTGTGGGGATGAAAGAACAATCAATTTAATTCTTAATTGTTTTCTTTACTGCAAATAACATATCTAATTGCACGTTAGTAAGATTTAAATTGGCACATAACAGGCCTTCAGACCCGTTTCCACCCTTGACAGAAGTTCCTCCGCATTGGAAAGTCTCTTTTGGTCATGGTCCTTCTTCTTCGTCGTGGAATGGAGTTCATAATGGCTAGGCAATTCCCTTGGCTTTAACGTTAATGTGCTTCAGTGGTACAGTGATCATTTTGGCATTCAATCTTAATCCAAGGACAGGAATGGTAAACAAAGGAAACAAGCAAGTCATGAACAGAGGGAAAAGGCATGAAAAATTACAAACAAACCAACCCAAAGCAATGTATACATACACCTGAAAAATGTACAGTAAATTAAATAAGAGTTTAAACAAAGCTACATGAATAAACCTTTTCAGCCCCTTTTCCACAGAACTCCGAATTATATTCACTATTTAAAAAACGGACGACTTAACAGTCTATGGCCTTAATCCTATTGGTTGGAGGTGGAAGCGTCATCTGCATAGAAATGGAAGACATAGTTTTATAGGACTAACAAACCACTGTGGTGATACTTTGGCCCATGGCCTGATGACCAAGAGGTGTATTTCTTGACCCATCGTAAGATCTTAAGGCCTGAATAAAACCACAGCAGGCCTGGGGCAACTTATACATAGTTGAAAAAATCTCTGTATGCTAGTGTACCTTTAAGACAGAAATGTAATACAATACTAGGGCAAAGGCTAGTGCAACATTGACAATCTGTTAACTCACGCATGTTATTAACCCTGTTCCAATAAAGAAAATAGAAAAATAGAAATAACTGAACCATGTTGAAATGTAAACACTCAACTGTCACTTTTAAACCCCTGAATCAGAATACATTCCATTGATGAGATAGTCCACCTGGGTGTAGTCTTTCCTCCTGTAGCTCTTATATGCCTGTGTGAGGAAGAGGACAACCGTAACTAGGAAGAAGAGGAGGCCAAACAACAGGACAGCCAATAGAGCACTTGTGTCCACCAACTGGCGAGTCAGAATCTCGCCGGCAACAACGTCTATAATGGCTCTGTTGGTGTTGGTGCCTCCGTCCAGCCTTTTTGTGCCGACCTCAGCAGTGGCGGTTGAAGGAACCATAGAGTTTCTGGAGGTAGCTCGAGTGCTGGGTGCCTCCGGAATGGTTGGTGATGGCTTCTTCTTCTCATCTGTAGACGTGTCTGCGGTGGTGGTGGTTGTTGTTGTTGTTTTTGGAGTGGTAGTTGACGGTAATGCTGTTGTTTTTATTGTGGTGGTGGTGGTAGTAGTTGATGGGATTGTTGTGGTGGTGGTAGTTGGTTGTGTTGTGGTGGTGTTGGTAGTAGATGGCGTTGCTGTTGTGGTGGTAGTAGTAGTAGTTGATGGGATTGTTGTGGTGGTGGTAGTTGGTTGTGTTGTGGTGGTGTTGGTAGTAGATGGCATTGCTGTTGTGGTGGTAGTAGTTGTAGTGGTTGTTGTTTCTGATTCCATTGTTGTCGTTATCTGTGGGATGGCTGGTGAAGTGGTCTGGGCTTTGGGAGTCCTAACAGTAGTAGATTCCAGCTTTACTGAAGTGGCTGTGGTTGTCACTGGGCTTTGGCCCTTTGTGTCAGATACTGTAGTTGCGGCGTCATCCTTGGGAGCTGGCATGGGTACCTCAGTCATGGTAGATGCAGCTGAGACAACAGCAGAGTCTCCAACAGTCGGCGCCTGACCATCATCACTGTTATTGCTCAATTTATGAGCAGTCGGGTTCTTAAGTTCTGATGGAGTTCTGGAACTGGAATTTGAAGACTGAGTGGCTGTTCCAGTTTCTCTCTTAAAAACACGGATGTCTGTATCTGGGGGGAAAAGGTATTTAAAATACTGTGACAAATGTAAAGGCATTACAATCACAAAATAGATTGTTCATTTACAACCCTTGGAAACCAAAAGATTCAGTAACTAGATTTATCAACTAATAATATTAATATTGATGGTAAAAAGAGGCTAATAAACATTCCACAATGTTTATATATTGCAGCATTGTGTTCACACCTTGTTTCCTGATCAGGTCAGTGACGGAGATACTGTTGCAGTTGGTGCCATTTGGACACGTCAAGAAAAAGCAGGTGGACTTTTCTTTCCAAAAGAAAGCATGATCACATGCTGTATTGAGTGAGCCTGTGGAATAAACACAACAAAAATGTAATGATAAGGAAATCTTGCATGCAGTCAAAATCATATACAATATTAAGCCAGAAATTGTACCCCTCTACACTTAATTGTGAGCAAGATTCCTGGCACGGTCACATTCTGTATGTCTCAAATTAATTCAGTAAAATGTTCAGACATATATAAATTCAGACCGAAGAATGGCACCTACCAAGAGCATTTGTTATGCAGGCAACATAAATATAGCTGGTCAACAACTAACAATACTTTTCTGGAGTTATCCAAACATGTCTTCCAAAAATGTGCCACAATCAGCCCTGGGAATTCCTTTTAAAATGTTCACCCCGGGGACTACGGTTGTTTTTACTCTATTTTTCAGTACTACTCCTATTTAATTTCACCCTGACAGTCTCAGCAACCACAGTCCGTGTTTTTCAGGAGATCTGGGATCCATTACAGAAACAGATGGGAGAAAAACAGGCCTGTTTACGCCTCCTTTGATCCCTTCCAAACTCTTGTGTGTGACTGAGGAGATAGCTCCAGCACACCTCAGCCTCAACATCCAGCCGTGCACGCCTGATGGCTCTCTTCCCACTGCAGAGCAGACCTACTGATGAGCATAACAGGCGGGGAAAAGCAGCAGAGCAGAAGCAGCCCTGGGCCTGCACCGAAGAGAGGAGCTGGCCCCACCGGGGAGTCAATGTGAGAGGAGGCAGAGCGAGTTGTGCGACCTCAAGTCTGTCTCCTCTCCTGCCTTATTTTAAAGCTGCTGCTAGGCACGGAGGCATCAAAACTCCTTTGCGGTTAAAAACTTCAGGTGAAATAATGATCGAGCAAGAAGAGAGAGAAAAACAAAGTCTGGCCTAGAGAGCCATTCCTGGTCAGTGATAGTAAACTAACTGGAAGGCCAGATGCTTTGTGTTTTAAATGATTACCCAGCTGTTCCAAATGGTACGGGAAAAGAGTGTGGAGGGTTGTGAGTTGGGGAAAGCAGAGTGAGGGGATATGAAAATCAAAGTTGCAGACTGCCCCTCACGCCCCTTCCTCTTAAGTTACTAGGGGGTCACCCTATGCTAGGGGCACGACGTGTCCCAAACACAGAGGTCTCTAAGCTGGAATGCTAAATGATTATGTATTTATAGCCCTCTGTCATACCACACATTACATGCTTCCAGATGGTAATACCAACCTTGTTTTCATACCCCACTACTTTCAACCCACATTGCCTCTAGGAAACCCTGTCGCTTGTTTAGGGTGGATCATGTGGTGGAACTGGAAGAAGGCTGGGCCATTTACAACTAACTCCTCCCATGGAGATAACAACTGCCTTTGGGTTATATGTAGCTATGTATTTGCTGCATAAATCCGACCAGACTCAGGTGGTGCGGCAATAAGTATTGTAAGATTTAATTTACAAAATAAAATGTCATGACAAAGGCTGCGTTTACACAGGCAGCCCAATTCTGATATTTTCCCCCACTAATTGGTATTTTCAACAATCAGATCTGAAAAAGATCTGATTTGAAAAGACGCGATGTGATTGGGCAAAAGAAAAAGTTGTGGAAAAAATATCCGAATTTGGCTGCCTGTGTAAATGCAGCCTGAAGACTCAAGGGGCAAGGCTCTCCAAAGCAGCGCCAGGCTCATACACAACACAGCAAGGCCTAAGAATCCCTTTCATCTTAAATCTGAAACACATGGTTGCTTTGAAATGATATGTCCTTCAGTAGAGAGATGTGATTTGGGGGGGGGGGGATAACATTATGGCTACTCCCATATCAGCAGTGTTCCTGCTTTATCCAAGAGGTAGTCTTTGAGAAGTATGTAGGTAGCATGCATGCAGCTGATCTTTTTCTATAAGAGCTTCTTCAGGTTATAAGTGACTAACATTTCTATGAGAAGAAGTAAGACAACAATGTATCAAACATTGGTGAGCTTTAGTGAACTGGTGTACATTCCACAACCAGAACATATTTGATACGTTTTCAGTCAAATAATAGAGTCGGAGCAAAAATATAGTATTTATGTGTGTTTTCACTTTTCACGTGTGGCAACACACCTGATTTGTTGATTCTCTGATTCAAACTTACATGCTTCAGAGCACTGGGTTTGCTCAGTCATTGTCCGGCTGGCCACAATGCTGAACTGGCTGGCCACATGGGATGACAGACAAGGCAGCACCAGGAGCCCAAGGATGGGGGACAGGAAGAGGAGAGGATGCAGGGTCATGGTGAAATGGTGGCACACACACTGGGCAGGGAGAGGAAGGTAGTGGACACGAGTCACAATGAAGGCAGGGGACACACCACCATCAGAGCTCTAACATCTACAGGAGGACACAGAAATTGAAAAAGGTCTTATTGAAGACATTTGCAGTCGTCATCAGCACATAGAATGTCATATACTTTACTTTTCTGATGTGCTTGCATTTTAATGTTGTAGTTTTATCTTCCATAGAGCCATAGTTGATGGATCACTTCCTTCTCAATTTTACTCAAGACACACATTACCATTAAACTCATGAATTGTGAAGTTTCACATTTGCAGAGCAAAATACAATAAAAGGTTAGATTCTGGCTCAGGGTAGCTAATGTCCGTGTGAGGTGCAGTTTAGAGAGCAAGTTCGACTCATGAGCAGCATTTACTGTAAAACTACAAAACGATAAAACTGTTTAATAATTCTACCGCCTGTTACAAATTGATGATATAGTTCAAGTTTCATGTAACATCTGAGGATATATGTAATGATTTTTAGATCTAGCCTAGTTAACGAAGAACAGACAGATGGAGAGATGCTTGTAGCAGGACACAGATTTCGCTAGTGTACTGGGCAGCTTAGTTAATGCTGATAAATAGGCTTTCCTACACGTATATGGGGATACATCCATAACAATGCGCTAATGAGACGCGATTTCGCCTTGCATAGACAATGTGCTCACTCGCAGGGCACTGTTGTTCAGAGGCGCTAGCCAACAACACAGCTAACACAATCACTTCAAACTGAAGCTGGAAAGAATGCAAACTACCTGCACTTCGTTCCGTTTTACCTTTTCTCAATTGACATTTCTTTGTATATATCCATAAAAATGATGCCAGCTGATGAGAAACGCTCCATGCCTGTCTCGTTCATTACAGCAAGACAAGGTTTATACAAATCTCTGCTGTTGAAAACTAAATGTTAGTCTAAATGAAATGTGAGATAATGTGTTGATGCTTTTTATAGTGGAGATCAAGTTAATAAAGTGCCCCGCTGGGCTGATGAGACACTGGATTGCGCAGTCAGATGGAACAGAGTAAAGAGACATTTTAACTTCATAGATTTAGCCCGTGGTAATTTGTGGAATGCGGTTTTAACCAATCAGCATTCAGGATTAAACCCACCCGTTGTATAAAATTCAGATGTTCAACAACTCCGCGGCCCTGACAGTAGTTTTATCATTCCAGAATATTGTTCAATCCCCGGGGACACTCACTGTTTATAGCGCAAGATGACAGTAGACTATTATGTATCATTTTATACAGTAGTAAGAAGCCAACCCAAATATCAGCCAATTGTCCAAAACACCCAGAAAAGGAACATGTATACATTCTACAAGAAACAAAATCCCCTCACCATTGCTGTTCTCGCGATATAATGGTTACACTTTTTCAGACCTCTTGTTGGCTCTGCCCTAAATGTAAACACCACTTAGCTGAACAAATTGCCACAGTTCACTGCATGCGTGCCAACGTGGTAATCAATAATGGACTTCACTCTACTCTAGTCTCCACCCAACTTTAATTGCTCAAATGGACAGTTTACAGAGTAGTTAACTAGTTACACGTGTATGGAAAACACCAGGGACTTCTGGCTTTTGTATTTATTACCATTGAGCATTGGCAATATGGTTTAACCACCTGATGTTCCATCATCAAACCTCGCTAAGTTAGCTAGCTACATTTGTTTCATGAACACTCAACAAACATCCGTCTTCACTTCAGACCACATCCCCTCAGTCATTTGGCTAGCTGCTAACTTAGCTAGAAGCCAACAGCTTTGGAGTTAGTTATTAGCTAGTCAGCTAGCTAACAACGTTGTTCTTGCTACAATTAACTTCACCCTTTGGCTGTAGCTACGTTACTGAAATGAAGAGACAGATCCACTGTGTTGTGTTGCAATTCTGGTTCATCACACTAGCTTACTTGTTAAATAGCTAGCTACACAATCAGCCACCTGGACAGCTAGCTAACAGGCCAACTAGCCAGTTTTTCTAGACCGGCAACAGTTTGCAAATCAGGATAGTTTTTCACTTCGCTAGCTAGCATCAAATCCACCGCAGGTAGTCTAGTCACTACCCCCCACTATTTGGTAGCTAGTTAACGTAATAACTAGCGGCCATCTACTAGCTAGCTACGTAATGTTAGCTGAACACCAGACCAACTCACTCACCCAGGCAGGAGGAGGCTAAATGCACACCTTTTAGTCAACTTCTGTTCTTGTAGCTAGCTAGCTTACGCCGTAGTAGTTGACAGTCTATGGGCTAAAAAGCTATGTCATGTCACGCAATCAAACAATATCAGAAACACATCCTTCTTCCCAACACATAATATTTCGCTAGCCATTAACGTCATAGATGAGAACAATGAGACAGATATTTCACCGGATGTACAAATATAAAGCATCCGCTTGGCTTTTCCACTCACTACCAAATATGGTGGTGAGAGGAAGCCCAGTGGCCGGCAGTGGGAGAAGATGGAACGAGATGGCTTTTGACCGACATTCTGCAAATGCTCTCATCGATGAAATATTTGATCTCAATACAGTTTTCTGTTCCCAAAACTAAAATCTACTACGAACAGAGTGGACTACGTTTTGTAGACTATACCATTTGCCAAAGTTTCCTACAATTGTGTTGTTTAGAAGGAGTGCAAGGGCGAATTGAGTTATTGCACAAGCGCACTTCACAGAGTAGGCGTTCCCTAACGAAATATGCAAATACATGTTCTACAACGGGATGGTCAAAACAAGCATTGTGATTGGTTGAGAAGCGTTCTAAGCCATACAAAAAACTAAAAAAAGTTTAGCATGGTAAGCCTATGATAAAAAAATGGTCATCTAGTTTTCTGTTCCATCAGAGAAATCCCAGCACATCCACTGTCCCATCAGTCAATTCATGAACTTGATCTCCACTGTAAAAAGCATCTAGTCATTATTTCCTCTTGCTTCTAGCCTAACATTTAGTTTGCAACAACAGGGGTTTGTACAAACGGTGATGTCTCTCTCGACATTTGCAACATTGTTTAATATTGAAATTCGATCTCGACTGTCCTATTGAGAATTAGCATCAGGAAGAGACTGACATATTTTATCAGCCAGTCGAAATCACGAATCAGCATACTTTTTATGGATATATACAAAGAACGTCAATAGAAAAACAGGTCAAATGTCATGAAATGCAGCTAGTTTGCTGTCTTGCCAGCTTCAGTTTGAAGTGATTGCGTTAGCTGTGTAGTTGGCTAGCTCATCTGAACAGTGTCCTGATGAGAGAGCACATGTACTATGCCAGGCGAAATCGCGCATTATTAGCTCATGGTTATGGATGTATCCAAAACAGCTTAAACAAACACAAATGCAGGTACTTTGCTGTTATTCTAGCTGCACTGTTTGACCTGACTGTGTTAGCCGTAGTTGGCTAGCAAGCAAGGGATAATTGAGTTGCCAGCCAGCATGGTAATGGAACATTTAGAACGAAAGACAGGGTCGCGTCCATAGATATAGAACAAAAAGCTAGCAATCATAGATGTGTCGGGACTAGGCCTATATTTTCGTTGAGGGATGAAATAGTTAGGTGATAATGCCAGAGAAGCCAGTTTTTGGAGGATATTGGCACGGGTGTTTTAAGGGCCAAGAGGAAGTCGAGGGCAGGCAAACCGGCTTCGAGGGCATTATCACTTTTATACAACGGATTACCAACATATTCAAATAATGATTTCCATATTTTCATTAAAAACGTAATTTTATGAATTTATTCATACTATTTCATCCTTCCATGAGATACAATCCTGACACAAATCTAGGGTTGCTACTGTGGTGTCCAAGTCAACGTTGCTAATTATGCTGTGATGATAAGAAGTCCGCTTACACTGTTCTTTGATTATAAAGATTTATTGTATCAAAGTTCACAGTATTAATTTACAGATATCTGCAGTTATATCTGGAGAGAAACGGCCAATCTGTTGATCCAATATGTTGTCTCTCTCTCTCCCTTTGTTCAGAACCTGGTATTTATATCCTATGTAACATAATATGGCGTGATTTTAATAAACCAATCCCCGGCTTTCACATATCTCCAAATGTCCTCTATTCCAAGAAACCTATGTAGCAATGTTTTTCCAAATGCTTCAGCAAAGCAGAGTATAGTTAATCTATTACACCATTTGCAAACATCAGCAAAATCAATAGACCTTCAGACACTACACTACCCAAGCTGGCTGGTCATTCGTTCTATCCCTTTGGTTGCCAGAGACGCGACCCAGTTGTTAACTCTTTTTGTTCTAAATCTATGGACGCGACCCAGTCGTTCGTTCTAAATGTTCTGTTGCCATGATGGCTGGCAATGTTCTTATCCCTTGATTGCTAGCTAGTGAATTTTTGGGGGATACATCCATAACAATGAGCTAATGATGTGCGATTTCGCCTGGCATAGAACATTTGTTCTCTCGCCAGGCCACTGTTCAGAAGAGATAGCTAGCCAACTAGACAGGTAACACAATCACTTCGTTGTGTGGGCGAGCAGTTTGCTGATGTCAACGTTATGAACAGAGTGCACCATGATTGCGGTGGGGTTATGGTATGGGCAGGCAGGCATAAACTACGGACAACGAACACAATTGCATTTTATCAATGGCAATTTTAATACACAAAAATACAGTGACGAGATCCTGAAGCCCATTGAGGGGCCCTTTTTTAAGGTATCTGTGATCAACATATCTGTATTCCCAGTCATGTGAAATCCATAGATTAGGGACTAATGCATTTATTTAAATTGACTGATTTGCTCATGTGAACTGTAACTCATTAAAATCAATGAAATGGTTGCATGTGGCGTTTATATTTTTCTTCAGTATATTTATCAAAATAACATTTTTTGTTTAATTGGTAACCCATTGTAGAAAAGCAATTCTACACTCGAGAATGTGTAATACGAAAAAAATGTGCAGCATCATATGATGATCATCCAGTACAGTAA